GCTCCAGGTATAACCGAGACGAATGTGTTGTCCTTTGACAGCGTACAAATAGTTCTTGAAGCTGGAATAACCCCCAGCCTTGAACATAGCAGAGACAGCTCGCAGCGTATCAACAGTGACAGGGTAAACATCCTTAGTGTAGGAAAACCAGCAGTTGTGAAAGCGGGCCCAAGTCCGGAGCAAGGCTTGCTGAGGGCCGCGTCAACTGGCTGCAAGTGTCATCATCAAACTCCTGCAACGCCTGTCTCTTGGAGGCCTCAGTTTTGGTCACGTTTATAGTGACGGACAATCACTTAGAACGTAATTTTTTCCATTTTTTTTCGTACTTAGAACGTAGCAAAATTTCATCACTTAGAACGTAGGGAAAATTCATCACTTAGAACGTCAAAATATCACTTAGGCCCATTTATCACTTAGAACGTAAACCAACACTTAGAACGTGCTAAGTGATTGTCCGTCGCTATATAAACTATTTTTTCGATTTCAAAATCAATTAAATTTCCTTATATACGCAATTAAACATATTGCCAAAAATTGGATTTCGAAGCGGACCCTAATAATAAATTTAGACCCTTAATAAAGCGGCTATTTTTTTCGACTTCAAAATCAATTAAATTTCCTTATATAACGCAATTAAAATATTGCCAAAAATTGGATTTCGAAGCGAATCCTAATAATAAATTTAAACCCTTAATAAAAAGACTAGTTTTTTCGATTCAAAATCAATTAAATTTCCTTTTATAACGCAATAAGACTATTGCCAAACACTAGAGTTCGAAGCGGACCCTAATAAATTTAAACCCTTAATAAAACAAAACTATTTTTTTCGATTCAAAACCAATTAAATTTCCTTATATAGCGCAATTGAAATATTGCCACAAATTGGATTTCGATGCGGACCTAAATAATAAATTTAAACCCTTAATAAGAAAAACCGTTTTTTTCGATTTCAAAATCAGGTAAATTTCCTTATAACACAATTAAAATATTGCCAAAAATTGGATTTCGAAGCGGATCCTAATAATAAATTTAAACCCTTAATAAAAAGACTAGTTTTTTCGCTTTCGAAATCAATTGAATTTCCTTTTATAACGCAATTAAAATATTGCAGAAAATTGGAATTCGAAGTGGAATCGAAATTATGTCTAGGTTTCCTATACGGAATTAGCTGCTGAATCCAACACTTAGAACGTCAGAACCCCTAAAAAGCACCAAAAGGTATAGTGTTCCAGAGATAAAAGATCACCAATATTTGCAAATCATATGGGAGGGAAAAGCCAAATGGTACGAAATTATGTCTATGTTTCCTCGGAATTAGCTGCTGAATCCAACACTTAGAACGTCAGAACCCCCAAAAAGCACCAAAAGGATCCAAAAGGTATAGTGTTCCAGAGATAAAAGATCGCCAATGTCAAATCATATGGGAGGGAAAAGCCAAATGGTACGAAATTATGTCTATGTTTCCTACGGAATTAGCTGCTGAATCCAACACTTAGAACGACAGAACCCCCAAAAAGCACCAAAAGGATCCAAAAGGTAGAGTGTTCCAGAGATAAAAGATCGCCAATGTTTGCAAATCATATAGGAGGGAAAAGCCAAATGGTACGAAATTATGTCTGTGTTTCCTACGGAATTAGCTGCTGAATCCAACCCTTAGAACGTCAGAACCACCAAAAAGCACCAAAAGGTATAGTGTTCCAGAGGTAAAGACCGCCAAGATTTGCAAATCATATGGGAGGGAAAAGCCAAATGGTACGAAATTATGTCTATGTTTCCTATACGGAATTAGCTGCTGAATCCAACACTTAGAACGTCAGAACCCCCAAAAAGGATCCAAAAGGTATAGTGTTCCAGAGATAAAAGATCGCCAATGTTTGCAAATCATATGGGAGGGAAAAGCTAAATGGTACGAAATTATGTCTATGTTTCCTACGGAATTAGCTGCTGAATCCAACACTTAGAACGTCAGAACCCCCAAAAAGCACCAAAAGGTATAGTGTTCCAGAGATAAAAGATCGCCAAGATTTGCAAATCATATGGGAGGGAAAAGCCAAATGGTACGAAATTATGTCTATGTTTCCTACGGAAGTAGCTGCTGAATCCAACAGAATGTCAGAACCCCCAAAAAGCACCAAAAGGATCCAAAAGGTATAGTGTTCCAGAGATAAAATCATATACAGAGGGAAAAGCTAAATGGTACGAAATTATGTCTATGTTTGCTTAAATGTCAGACCCACCCAAAAAGCACCAAAAGGTATAGTGTTCCAGAGATAAAAGATCGCCAATATTTGCAAATCATATGGGAGGGAAAAGCCAAATGGTACGAAATTATGTCTATGTTTCCTACGGAATTAGCTGCTGAATCCAACACTTAGAACGTCAGAACCCCCAAAAAGCACCAAAAGTATAGTGTTTCAGAGATAAAAGATCGCCAATGTTTGCAAATCATATAGGAGGGAAAAGCCAAATGGTACGAAATTATGTCTATGTTTCCTACGGAATTAGCTGCTGAATCCAACACTTAGAACGTCAGAAAAACACCAAAAAGCACCAAAAGGTATAGTGTTCCAGAGATAAAAGATCGCCAATATTTGCAAATCATATGGGAGGGAAAAGCCAAATGGTACGAAATTATGTCTATGTTTCCTACGGAATTAGCTGCTGAATCCAACACTTAGAACGTCAGAACCCCAAAAAGCACCAAAAGGTATAGTGTTCCAGAGATAAAAGATCGCCAAGATTTGCAAATCATATGGGAGGGAAAAGCCAAATGGTACGAAATTATGTCTATGTTTCCTACGGAATTAGCTGCTGAATCCAACACTTAGAACGTCAGAACCCCCAAAAAGCACCAAAAGGATCCAAAAGGTATAGTGTTCCAGAGATAAAAGATCGCCAATTCAATATTTGCAAATCATACGCGAGGGAAAAGCCAAATGGTACGAAATTATGTCTATGTTTCCTACGGAATTAGCTGCTGAATCCAACACTTAGAACGTCAGAACCCCCAAAAAGCACCAAAAGGATCCAAAAGGTATAGTGTTCCAGAGATAAAAGATCGCCAATGTCAAATCATATAGGAGGGAAAAGCTAAATGGTACGAAATTATGTCTATGTTTCCTACGGAATTAGCTGCTGAATCCACCACTTAGAACGTCAGAACCCCAAGAAGCACCAAAAGGTAGAGTGTTCCAAGAGCTAAAGACCGCCAAGATTGGCAAATCATATGGGAGGGAAAAGCCAAATGGTACGAAATTATGTCTATGTTTCCTACGGAATTAGCTGCTGAATCCAACACTTAGAACGTCAGAACCCCCAAAAAGCAACAAAAGGATCCAAAAGGTATAGTGTTCCAGAGATAAAAGATCGCCAATGTTTGCAAATCATATAGGAGGGAAAAGCCAAATGGTACGAAATTATGTCTATGTTTCCTACGGAATTAGCTGCTGAATCCAACACTTAGAACGTCAGAACCCCCAAAAAGCACCAAAAGGTATAGTGTTCCAGAGATAAAAGATCGCCAATTCAATAGTTGCAAATCATATGGGAGGGAAAGCCAAATGGTACGAAATTATGTCTATGTTTCCTACGGAATTAGCTGCTGAATCCAAACTAGAACGTCAGAACCCCCAAAAAGCACCAAAAGGATCCAAAGGTAGAGTGTTCCAGAGATAAAAGATCGCCAATATTTGCAAATCATATGGGAGGGAAAAGCCAAATGGTACGAAATTATGTCTATGTTTCCTACGGAATTAGCTGCTGAATCCAACACTTAGAACGTCAGAACCCCCAAAAAGCACCAAAAGGATCCAAAAGGTATAGTGTTCCAGAGATAAAAGATCGCCAATATTTGCAAATCATATGGGAGGGAAAAGCCAAATGGTACGAAATTATGTCTATGTTTCCTACGGAATTAGTTCCTGAATCCAACACTTAGAACGACAGAACCCCCAAAAAGCAACAAAAGGATCCAAAAGGTATAGTGTTCCAGAGATAAAAGATCGCCAATGTTTGCAAATCATATAGGAGGGAAAAGCCAAATGGTACGAAATTATGTCTATGTTTCCTACGGCATTAGCTGCTGAATCCAACACTTAGAACATCAGAACTCAGAACCCCCAAAAAGCACCAAAAGGTAGAGTGTTCCAGAGATAAAAGATCGCCAATATTTGCACATCATATGGGAGGGAAAAGCCAAATGGTACGAAATTATGTCTATGCTTCCTACGGAATTAGCTGCTGGATCCAACACTTAGAGATAAAAGATTTCACAAGCCTTTCCACTATCATCAGTGACCTAGACACGTTCTAAGTGTTAAATCCCCGGTACGTTCTAAGTGATGAATCTTGATATTTGGACGTTCTAAGTGTATGCTTTTCGACGTTCTAAGTGCAAGGCTTAGAACGTAAAAAAAGCAGTAATATTCAGAATTTTTTCCAAAATACGTTCTAAGTGATTGTCCGTCACTATAAAGACTTGAACGGATCTGCCACACCATTGCTGCGCACCAACGGTTGGTCAGTCCTAGTCCCAGGTCTAACTTTGCGATCACTGTCAGCGACCGACCCAGGATTAAAAGTCCTCGGCCTACTTCCAGCACTATTTCTACTGTCAGCAGGCAGTGAACGTGCCCATGAGTCCAAGTCCCCAGGAGGTGAACAAAGAAAAGTAACCTTCCTGGGTACAGATCTCATATGGTACTAAAACAAACGGCTACGGAGAACGAAAACGGCAGCGGCGAGAAAAGGTTAGTGTGCAGTGACTAGCAAAGTCAAGCCCAAACTTACAGCTCGTGGTCACATGCAGCACCAGCAGAACCTAGTTCCTTTCATCGATCACAGCAAAGAAAACACAAAACGTCACCCCTAGAAGCGAGTGGCAACGTGCAGTTCACAGACCGCGACTTAACAGGCTTAGCAATCAACCCGGCAACCAACTCACTCCGAGCTCCTTTGTTCTTTTGCGACAAGCGTACTAGTTTAGGCACTTTCCCCCCGGTTTAACCAGTGGAACTGTGCGTCTTGCTTGCAGGGAAAGGTGAATTAATTGATCGCCACCACGACTTGGTACGTGGAGACAACTGTGCTCTGGGTACATGTGCTAGCAAGGACGGCCATGACTCATCGTCCCCAGGCTGAAAAATTCTACTCAAAAAATCACAAGTCTTATTGGTGATCCCAGGAATATGCTCTGCAATTTCAGGACCATAGCTTGAGACCCCTATGTCTAGGGCGGCTTCTCGAGCGATGATGTTGTTGGTGGGAGAGTGGGTCTTCAGCCTACCCAGCAAAACTAAAGCACCAGTGTTGTCACTTCGGATGGAAAAGTGCGACCGTCGATCTTTCCAAAAAGGCGCCCACTGCCGCAGCGCAATCAACCCTGCCAAAGATTCCATAGTTTGTTGAGAAGCGGAATCGCCCACTTTCAAGTGCAAGAGCTCGATGTCTACTTGGCAAGGCACCTCATAAAGAAACTGAACGATCACACCATCAATGGTGAGAATGGCTCCAAAGCCCCATGGGGATGCATCCCAAGTGATGACGACTCGTTGTTGCCTGGAGAGATATTCGTTGACATCCCAGGTACGCTTGGTGATGCAATCAGGTGAATGGCTGTCCAGGAATGCTAGGATCCAATGGAGTCCAGGTTTCACTTGGGAAGTCCAAGTGCAACCCTTAGGCGTGGATGCTGGCTTCTCAGAATGAAGCGCCGCATAAAACTGAGCCACGAAAGGTTTCCAAACATAGATGACGCTTGCAATGCTCATGCACTTGCCAACAAAGGAACGAAGCTCTTTGTTTGAAATGACGTTGCTGGACAAGAATTGTAACGCCAATACACGAATCTCAGTCAGCTTGTCCTGTGGGATGTGCACTTCTACTGTCGACCTGCCAACCACAATGTTCATGCCAATCCATTTCAAAGTCACGGAGCGTGAAGCTTTTCGGTAAGCGACAGGGAATCCCAGCAAGTGCCATCCGATGAGCAAAGTGCAAGTGAAGTCATCTATTTGTTGAGGAGTGCCTTTTAAAACAGTCCATGGATCATCCACGTCTGTTTCAATCCTAGCATCTTGCCAAATCTTTTCTTCTAAATGGTCCCTGGTGAGGAGGGACTGCAACAAACGTGTGGCTAAGGCCATGACTGCTGCAAATGTCAGTGGCGCAGTCCTGCTGCCCTGCGCCGTCCTTTTAAGAATCAAAAACTTATTGTGCAAACTGGCAACGAAAAATCGACGTTCGACTGGGTGCAGAGGTATGAGCCAGAACGCATCAGTGATGTCGGCCACCAACTGTGTGATGACTTCCCCAGGTTTTAAAGTGGACATGAGCGCAAGTATATCATGTACTGCGTCTGTCACCCTGGGTAGTTCTGACTTATACTTCCGTTCGGTGGCTTCAGTGACCCGTGAACGCTTAGCATCCAGGATGATGCGAGTTTTGTTTACTTCCTGGCCATGCTCGTTCACTTTTGATTTGACAACGCACCCCAGTTTTGAAAGCACTGGGTATTCCCCTCCCAACTCTTGAATGCAGCTATCCAAGCTGTCATGTTGAGAGAGATATCCTTTTGAAACATATCCAAAAATTGCTTCTGCCGCTTCCTTATTAAATTATTTTCAACCCCCAAATAATTACTAAACGTATCAAAATCCGTGGACAGTTCATCAAACGAAAGTTGTGGGTCACCCTGGTCGACAGAGGGAACAAACCTGTTAGGTCCGGGTGCAAACGTAGACCCCCCGGAGCACCCTCCTGCAGCCAGCGCGCCAGTCTTGCTGCCGGATCGCCGGCAGCCTTCGCCCACAACTCGATGAAGTTCGCCTTGAGACAGGTGTCAGGCGGTGAGTCATTCATGGTTGTGACGTCCACAGAGTTTGGTTTGGGGTGATTTCTAAGCAAAACCTTAGAAACTTCCGTCCTCAGTGCGTCAACTAGAACCGGATCGCCTGGGAAGTGAACATCCTCATCATGCGCCAAAGCCCGAAGATAACAAAACTTGAAATCAGGATTACCCCTGCAAAATTGATCAATCACATTTCGAATCTGCACCCCCAAGTTTAATAACCCAGGAACCTTTTCGAGACAACGAAACGGCCTACGCAATCCCCCTATACATTCATCAAAAGGTGATTGCTCCGTGTTCCTAGGTACCTTAAACATGGGTGTGGGCCTATCCGAAAAATCCCTGCAGGGTAAAACGGCTTCAGCTGCAGCTGCTTTGCGCTTGGGTTGCCCCAAGCTAGCTACGAAAACTTTAGCAAGTGCCTCATTTAGTGCGCCTGGGTAGTGAGCAGTTTCCTTAGTTAAGTAGGGACCGGATGGTTCAGTCCTACGCAACAAGGAGGGGGACCACAGTTCAGCAGGAATAGCTAGTTGTCTTCCCTTCAAAGGTGGGTGTGGCCCCCACGATCTAGCCCCATTCCAGGGTATGACCCAAACCCTGGAAGGGTGATCGCACTCCCCAGGCCAATCAACAAGCTCCACGTTTCCCAACAACTCTGTCAACCGGGCCGTTGCAGATACAACCAGATACCCGGAGGGAGGGACCAGCAGAGCACTGACTGGACCAGAAGGCACCAGAGGACCAACCAAGGGGGGAGGGGCAGGAGGGGGCAACAGGAGAGAGCGGGCCAAACCGCAACAACCCCAAACACCAAGAGCAAAAACGAGCAAAGCAACCGAACAGGGAACAAAAAACAGCGGCAACAAGAGAAACAAAACAAACACCAAAAAAAAAACGCAGCACACCGAAGGGAGACCACAAGGAAAGCACAGAGGCCAAAGGACACCCGACAAAAAGGGACGACCAGAGCAGGCAGAAGCAGATGAAAGGCCAAGAGACACAGTCCCCGGCACACACCCACACCAGGACGAAGAAGGGGAGCAAAGTACCCCAGAGAAAGGAGGCCAACAAGACAACCACAGAAAAAAGGGGGGCCAAACGAAACAAGAACCAAAAAAAGGAAGAATTACAGAGCACGAGAGTACCTGCCCAGTCTGCGGACAGACACACCCGCACTCAAAGGGTCAAGATCTGGGTTGAGGGAGTGTAGAGTCCAAACCAAGATACGAGTGCACCAGTTTAGTCTACCGGAGTGCACCCGAGCATGCATGCAAGTGCGCTGAAGATCAAGACCTTAGTTCTGCAAGGGTGGAAACGAAAAATGGGGGAGAAAAGGCACGAGTGCACCTGTCCAGTCTGCGGACAGACACACACCGATAAAACTGTCTCTGCATCCGAATGAAACATACACGGGTGAAACAAGTGTCAGAGCGGGTGCATCATCATGACAATACTACAAAAGGGGGGAGGGGGGGTATTTATGTCATGCCACGTGTAGTGTGTTCCAGGTAATGTGTTTGTCAGATTTGAGAGTGACAGTCCAACAATTTTCAAGGGCAAACGAGACAGGGTTCTCTAGTTCTTGGGTAGTGGCGAGCCGTCGGAGCTCTCCACATTTTGCTTTGAACTCATCTATGTCACCTTGAGGTGGCTTCTTGCGTACTCGCCTGCTAGGGAAGTCCCGGTTCTGCACATTCTGTTGCAGCGTGGCTTCTGGGGCATAGTGAGCCGGTAGCTGGTAGAGGACTCTGCTCGCAAACTTTTCGTAGTTATAGTTGATCTCCCAATGAGAGAACATATGGCGGCGGTTCATTTGCTTTCTTAATTGGTCAACGAATTGGTGTAGGTCCTTTGTTACATGCCAGAGCCGCAGTAGGCTGTAGTTGGAGGGCCAGTCCAGCGGGCACAGCGTCGCGGTCTGCTTCCACTTTTCCGGCGTCAGTCCTGTGGGAGATTGGATAATGACGTCGAGCGTGACTCTGGTTGCTCCTGCCGCGCATGACATCTGGCTCCACTACCCCCATCTGGTAACCACGAATGACTTCCGTAAAACAGCCGGCGGCTTGAAATTCTTCATCAAGGTCGAGGTGTAGACCAGGTACTTTCTTGTCAGTAAACTTGACTGCTTGAAGCACTTGGTCGCTATCATCTCGTTGTGTGCTAGCCGCTTCTCGGGTGGGACATTGGATGGTCACCTCCTGCGGCAATTGTGTAGCACCCCCAGCGGCCCCAGCGTCACCAATGAAGCACGGCGCCACCTTACTCGCCCAGCTAGCCGGGAACCATGCTAATAGGGCAGACACTCCACTAACAAGCTCGATCCCTGCGTTGGGTCGCGAGTGAGGTTGATTGGTAACAACAACTTTGACCGGGCCACTTGGAGCGCGGTCTCGATTGAAGGCTGCACTTTCCGTAGCTGCTCCAATTAATTCAGACAGAATCGGCCGAAACCAGTACGTGGCGTAGAGAAGGCATTCCGTTTCAGGGGTGGCCAATGTCTCCGCACGCCGCATCAGCCAGCATAAATACTTCGCTAATTTTTCGGCCAGCCGAATAGTGAAGTTTCTGGCAGCAGCCTGAAAGACTATCTCAAGGGTGTCAATACGTCCTCGCAACCACACTTCTGCTGCAATGGTCATGAACAATCTGGCAAATTTATCTTGGATGGAAGTTAACGAGATGGTCAATTTCGCCTGTAAAACCACAACGCCGGCAGGGCGCCAAGGTTGTCTGGCTGGAAAAAGATATTCACCTTAGGTTGAGACCCATGCATCATGGTTTCTAGCTTGTCGGCGGCTCCGGCAATCTCGCTTTCGGTAGGGTCATCTGGTGTGTGGGATAGGGGGACACCAAGACTCTTCCGCCTCAGTTTCAGCATCAGTCTCAGCATCTGTAGTGTCTCGTTCTTCATCTGAGGAGAAATCTTCGACTCTCCTGCTCCTTCAGGGCCTGTGATGTTGCTAGTTTTTTTCCGTCCAACGCCTTCATGGCTTCCGCCAGGTCGTTCAACACGTTCAATTGCATGTTGCAAAATAGGGTTAATTGATTAATTAATGCATACACATGGCCGTCTGTAGATTGAGGGGCCTCAAGAGTGAACTGGTAAAGGACCTGTACAGTCCAGTAGGCCGTCACGAAGTTGCCACAAACAAACCAAAACAAAAACCAAAAGCAAAACCCACAAAAAAAAAACAAAAACCACAAAAAACAACAACACAAAACAAACAAGCCAACCAACTACGTGACCGGTGCCAGTTCATGGGTTAATTAATGCAAGAGGTGATAACATTGTATCATCTCGTCATGGTATGGCAGCAAAAACAAAGGGGGAAAACATCCAAGCCACCAGGCCATACCAAAGAGTGAGTGAAGCAACAAAAGCACCATGCGGAAACCAGGGATCCCCCCAGCCAGGATCCCCGAGATCCCCCCAGCCAGGATCCCCGAGATCACATGGCGCAGGCCGTCAAGGCATAACAACTCACATATCGTCACTTCGAAGCAAACAACGGCAACGCCGTGTCGCAACGAGAGTGGTGAAAAGACAGGTGAAACGGACGGTGAAACATGAGCTAATGTGAGAATGATGAAGGGGCGCTAACAGCCCACCGGGCGCGCTCAGAGTCCGCTCAGTAGTGCTTTTTCGATCATCATACTCTTGGGTAATTTTCTGTGCTCAACTCTGATGGTGCTTGCTTGATGGGCACGGTGCCCAAAACGGTTCACTTGGAGAGCTACCAGAATGAGGGAGCGGTGAGAGACATCCTACAAGAACATCTCTCATGGCTCCATCATTGCGGTTTGCGGTCGACTCCAGTACGCTAGTACTCTTGCCAATAGTCTTCATGAGCTGGAAGATTATGTTCATCATCTGTGAGTGGTGAAATCTGTGCATTTAGCTCTTCAGATGACGTACTGGCACCTTTGGCTGTGCGTGGCATAAGCAGTATGGCTTTTTGCGCCTGGCTAACTTCGTAACTGGCGGAGATCATGCAACTATCCAAGACACAGCTCAATTGACGCATCTGGCGTATAGTAGCCTCAAGGTCAGTGATCCTCTGGGATGGGACGTCTGGGATACCTCGAAGCTTCTGGCATGCCTTATCGAGCAGTTTGGTGGCGGCATCAACTTCTTCTGTAGTGACTTGACACAGTGTCAGCTGAGTAATTGACTTTGCTAGGCGATTGACTGCAGCATCCTCCATTGCAGACGGGCGGGCAAAAGAAGCCATAAATATCCGCGGGGTGTTCTGCAGCCGTGGAGCAGCTGCGCAGTGCATTCATTAACGGCAGTGTCATATACTCATTTGAGCGAGGGTGAAATGAAGACGTCCATTCGGAAGTCGTATTCGGTATAGGTCAAGATGTTGGTTTGAAGTTCGGGCAAACAGCAACGGGTTCCATGGCTTGATGTGCTTTGACATCATCCTACGCTAGAAACTACTATTTCATAATAGTGTCTACTAATTAACCCGCGCCACCCCCCCCATCCCTATCTTCTTCTCACTTCTACCCTTGTGTGTAGTCTACTAATTAAGTGCATTATAATTCATCACCACCTCTGCTGGGTCAAGGGTGTACTGGCCAACCATGAGTACCTCATGGTTTTTTTTTCCTCTGGTATGGCCGATCACGCTCTAAGGCTCGGTCCTTACATGAGAAGAAGCTGTTATCAAGAAAACGTCTACATGGACACAAGTGGTCGCATGCAGCGAGGCAAATCATAAAAACCAAAACACAAACACCAAAAACAAGGCAAGACGCAGATCCCCCAGCCAGATTTGCGTCTTACCATCCAAAGGACAGCAAAGCAAACAGCGAAAGGGGCAAGGGCCCAACAGAAACAACCACAAAGAGATTTGCCAAGGACACAGTGGTAAAAGCCCACTGTGTCGCAACATAATAAAAAACATGCAGCAAACGAATTAGTTGCCACCCAGTAAAGTGAGACGTCTACGCTGTTGACAAGAGGCCAACAAAGAGGCACATTTCCTATACACTATCGCCTAAC